GAGAAATAAACTTGACCTATTTCTATTTCGTCATATAAAATGGCTCCAGTTGAGTTGAAAGAGTTAATAGAGCATTTGAAAGACCTCCTCGATAAAGGTTTCATTCGACCCAGTGTCTCACCTTGGGGTGCCACTTGTTTATCGAAGATAGACCTCAGATCTGGCTATCATCAGTTGAGAGTAAGATAGAGTGATATTCCAAAGACTGCACTCAGGACCTACTATGGTCATTATGAGTTTCTTGCCATGTCTTTGGTTTGACTAAAGCTCCTGCAGCGTGCATGGATCTTAGGAACAGAGTGTTTAAGCCTTATCTTTATATGTTTGTCATTGTATTCATTGATGAAATTCTAATTTATTCAAGGAATGAGGATGATCATGCTAGTCATCTCAGAGTAGTTCTACAAACTCTCAAGGATAGAGTTGTGTATGCTGAATTTTCCAAGTGCGAATTTTAGCTTGAGTCACTGGCATTCTTACGCCACATTGTATATTTTGGGAGTAGTATTAATCACCGATATGGGGGAGAGTTCAGACAACTCATATCCCCCATAAACCATGTAGCCAACGTCGATATAAAGGGTCATACTTTTTAGATGATTCCTTCTTGCTTTTTAGCATAGACTAATGGATCCACTTAGTTAGTAGGTCCTATACCCCGAAAAACTATCGGGCTAGACGTTGTATCATCACATAGCTCATAGTGATGGTTGTCAGTTAGAGAATATCCCACAGAGATACTTTTTATTTTTATATACAATTAGAGTTATTATTGTATTTTCATACAATTGAGTTATTATTGTATTTTTTTATACAACTGAGTTATTCTCTATTGTTTTAAAAGCTTTCCAGATATTGCATCTTTTATTGTTGTTGAGTATCTTGAGTTTGAGTTGAGTATCTTGAGTCAGATTTGAGTATCTTATTATTGAGTTGAGTTGAACTATGTTTTACTAAGTTGAGAATCTTATTTCTGAGTTGAGTATCTTATTGCTGAGTTGAGTATCTTATTGTTGAGTTGATCCCTATTTCTCTGAGTTGAGGGGAACTATGTTTCATTGAGTTGAGAAGAGGTAAGTATGTTTCTTTTCCATCAGTTCAAGCTTATGTTTATTATTTCAAATTCCCCTTACATTCTCGTACATTCAATGTACTAACGCCATTTTGCATGCATCATTTGATGATGCAGATACATGTATTCAGGGTCATCAATAGAAGCTTCATTGATGCCACTTGCAATTCCAGTTAGCTTTGGTGAGCCTTCTTATATTCCGGAGGATTTCACCTTTACCTTATAGTTAGTAGCTTTGAGATGTTGTGGGTCTTGTCCCGATAAGTTTCTGTAATAGTAGAGGCTTCATAGATAGACAAAATTGAGTAGTTTCACTATGTATCTTCTTTGAGTTATTTTTACAAACTCTGAGTTCATCTATTGAGTATTGTTCATAATATTTTAAAGTTGAGTATTTGAGTTATTGAATTTATTTTAGTTTTATGTTTTTGTATGCTTGAGTTATTCTTTCACTTGTAGTCAGCCAGGATGAGGGTTCGCTTGGGGGAGCAACAAAAGATCTCGAGTTTCAGCCACGTCCACGGTGTAGTCTCGGGTTGTCGGTGTAGACTCGGGTCGTGACAGCAAGTCTTTCAGAAAGTTTGGGTTCGAAGGTAAATTTGAGTACTACTTTCCATCCTCAAACTGATGATCAAGCAGAGCACACAATTTACACTTTAGAGGATATGTTGAGGGCGTGTGTGATCGATTTCCAGGGTAATTAGGATGATCACTTACCTGTAATAGAGTTCGCTCACAACAACATTTATCACTATAGTATCCAGATGGCTCCTTACGAGGCACTTTATAGGAGAAGATGTAGGTCTCATATTGGATGGTTTGAGGTTGGTGAAGCTGGGTTGATAGGGACAAACTTAGTTTATCAAGCTATGGAGAAAGTGAATATCATTCAAGAAAGGTTGAAAACAGCGCAAAGTCGTCAAATATCCTATACTGATGTTAGGAGAAGAGACTTGGAATTTGAGGTGGATGATTGGGTGTACTTGTATAGTGGTTCTTACAGGATATCCAAGAGAATTGGCAATATAGCTTATGAGTTGGAGATACCGCCAGAGTTATAAGCAGTACATCTGTTGTTTCACATTTCTATGTTGAAGAAATGTATGGGCGATCCTTCACTTATTATACCTACCGAGAATGTTGGTATTAAAGACAGCCTATCTTATGAGGAGATTCCGGTTGAGATACTTGATCGTCGGGTTCGTAAGTTGAGGACCAAGGAGGTAGCATTAGTCAAGGTTTTATGGAGGAATCAATTTATTGAGGAGGCTACTTGGGAGTCTGAGGAGCATATGAAAAAGAGATACACATACCTCTTTTCTTCCGGAGAAATTCCAGACCAAGGTAACGACTTTTTGTAAAACACTCTTTAAATTTATATGATATGTTGTGTTAAAATTGCATGTTGGGTGTTTGAGTTGGGTGTTAGATGTTGCCACCTTTAGTTCTACTTAAAGTAATCTCATTCGAGAACGAATATCCCAAGGGGGAGATATTGTAACACCTCGGTCTTAGAAAGAACTAATTTTAGCAAGAACCAATTTAGGAAGAGATAAATCAAGAATTTTGCAAGTTAGTTTTAAATTATGAGTTTTGGTAACTTTCAGTTCATGATGATTCAGGTGGCCCATTAGCTATCAAAAGAAAGACCTTGTGAGTCCTCTTTCTAACGCGACCAAGTTTGCTAAATTCTGAGTTCGGATGAGGGAGATATTCCCATTTGAGCTCAACCTGTCAGATTGAGGAAATTCATCCGAATTAAGGAGGGGTATTTTAGTCTTTTCCTTACCCCACTAAGTTCACACGTTTTATTTTACCAAAATAGGGGTCTGGACCGATTGAGATCCGTTTTTGCTATTCAAAAACAGGCTTAAGCTTTTAGAGAAAAGTTCAAGAGGATAAAAATGAGAACTTCAACCTTTCATTCAAGATTCTTGCGATCTTCGAGGAATTTTGCCAAGGATTTGATCCTTACGAGGTATGTAAGCTCTCATAGAGATGGGTTCGTTCACCCTCATGCCAATCATGAGTTTCTTGGATTAATTTCGTCCATGACAATCCATGTATTGAGGTTCTTGATGAGTTTCTTGAAGTTTCATTTTTAAATCTTTAATAATGGGATTTGATGAGTTCTTGAGGTTAATGTTATGAGTTTGTTGGTTGTTTTTTAGTAGATTTTATTTTATTTATGTTGGGAATACGAATCTAAGAGAGTTTCAGGGAAATCAATCGATTCTAGGCGAATTAGGGCCAAAAGTTGAAGAGGAGAATTCATCGGGTTTTTTGGGTAGGGCTTGGGACGATGCGCCACTGATGCGCCAGGGGGATGGCGTGCCGCACCAGCAGTGTGCCAGAAATGTTTCTCTGTAGTTTAGGGGTTGGCTCCCTGCGCCACTCAGTGCGCCAGGGTCGCCTACCCCCGTCTGTTTTCCGTCGTTCGTTTCGTCTAAGTTCTTTTTAAACATATCCTTGCCCTCTTCCTGATTATAACTATTCAAACTATATCTAATTATTGAGAAATCGTATATCCAAATCATAATTCTTCAATTCACATTTTCAAATTAAAGATACAGTTAAGAGTAAGGTTCGAGGGACATCTTTTGAGTCATTTTGAGAAGTTTTTTGCAAACTTTTAAAATTTGTTTTAAGTCTTGAGTACTAGAGTATGAGGATGAGGAGAGTTGAATTCATGTTTTTAAAATGAATATAAGGGAACTAAGTATTCCCATTAGTAAATGTTTTTACATTTAAAGAGAGAGGAAACTTCAATTTCCAAATGAGTTCATGAGGAGTTTTGAGCATTATCTTTTTTAAGAGAACCTTTTGAGTAATAATCTCAAAGTTTGAGGATGAGAAAATATTTTTAAACATATGAGCATTAGTTATATTATTGGGAGTAGTATTGAGCATAGATATGGGGACGAGTTCAGTCAACTCAAAGTCCTCTTAAACCATGTATGCCAACATTGGTAAAAAGGGCCATACTTTTTATATGATTCCTTATTGCTTTTAAAGCATAGCTTAGTGGATCCATTTTGTTGAGGATATCTTATACTCCGTCAAGGTATAGGACAGTTCTGGCAGCGTGGGTGAGATGATGTATCATCACATAGCGCATAGTGATAGGTACTGGTTAGATAGTCTCCCAAATAAGAGTAAAAGAGTTATTATTGTACTTTTAAATACATTAAGTTATTATCTACTATTTTAAAAGATGTCTTTATAATGCAACTCTATTGTTACTTTTATATTGAACTGAGTTAAGTATTTATGAGTTTGAGTATCTTTGAGTTAAGTTGAGGTGAGATGAGGTGAGTACGTTCTTCCTTTTTATCAGTTCAAGCTTATGTTAGTACTTTAGAGTTCCCCGTACATTCCATGTATTGATGCCATTTGGCCTACATCTTTCATGATGCAGATACAGGTAATCAGGGTCATCAACAGACGCTTTGTTGATACCATTTACAGTTCCAGAGTTGCTTGGTGAGCCTCCTTGCTTCCGCAGGATTCCACTTTTATTTTCAGCCTTTTAAAAAGTCGTGGGTCTTCTCCCGACGTCTATTATTGTTATTAGAGGCTACATAGACAGTAGTAGTTGAGGAGTCTTTTCATATCCATTGTTAAATGTTTAAAGACTTGAGTTGCCTATTTTGGCCAGTTGAATGTTTTCTTTAAAATATTCTGAGTTATCTATTTTGAGACATTGAGTTAAATCTTTTCTTTTAAAGTTCATATGATGTTGAGTAAGTCTTCTGTTGAGTATTGAGCCAGGCTAAAGGTTCGCTTGGGGACCAGCAATGGTTCTCGAGTGTCCACGTCCAGGGTATAGGCTCGGGGTGCGATATTTTTTCCATAAAAGTAAGAGTCGAAAAGTACCTAAAGGCTCAAACAAGCTAGGAAACTGCTCCCACATATCATGCTCGGTCTTCTAGGTAGCCTGATCAACTAGACGATGCCTCCAACGGACCTTAACCATAGGGATGACTCTCCAACGCAACTGGCACACATCTCTGGTTAGTATGGTAACTAGCTCTTCCATGAAAGTCAAGTAGTCATCTAGCTCTAATGCATCATACTGAAGCACATGAGACTCATCAGGAACATACCGGCGCAACATTGAAACATGGAAAACTAGGTTGATAGCTGAGAATACTAGAGGTAGAGCCAACTCATATGCAACCTCACCAACTGTATGGAGGATCTCAAAAGGCCCAATATACCTAGGGCTAAGATTTCCCCTCACCCTGAATCTCATCACGCCCTTCGTGGGTGCAACACACGGAGAAAGACTCTGTCACCCACTAAAACCCTCAAAAGTCGCCGCTTACGATCAACATAACTCCTGTGCATACTCTGAGCTTTTGCGTAGACCCTATATTTGTACTAGAAAACTATATAATTATATATGTATATTAACTTGTGAACCCCTAACAAAATTGATTGGCGGATCAATAGTAAGAAATAGACCGTGGAAATGCTTTTCACGCTAGACTTATGGGTTCGTACCCGCTGCTTTTTTTATAAAGGAAATTTAGAATTCCCAAACTCTCGGCTCCGCCTTTTTTCCAAGAACAACCAAGTTACTCACGCTAGTTATCACCATCACCAATTGCCATATAAATTTTTTAAAATAATCTATTAATATAATATTAGATCAATGTAGTGTTCTATTTGAATTTTTATTTATTATTTTTCAAACAAAGACAAATTTTATATATTCAAATATTGAGAAAATAAATAATTTTAACTATTTAGTATTCAGATATTAAGGTAATATCTTAATATTCAAACGTGTATTCAATACAAATATTCTTGATTTTATTTTTTATTTTTATTTTCTATAGTGAATTGGTCGAAAAGAAATAGTCTAGTATAAAACGAGTAACCTAGGTTTTAATTTTCATAACATATTCCTTTAGTAGAAATGGTTGTGTCTCCACTTCTTCTTAGTAGATTTCAACTGGGTTTTCTAGAAAATCCTCAATAAGAAGTTCCTTCTCATCAATCTCCAATTATAATTCCGATTCAACCACTCCATATTCTTCTTTCAACATATTTTTCAAATAGTACCACATATTTTCTAGCACAAAAAACTAGCTACAAAAACTTTTCTAATTACAAGTTATTCGAAAAAGTTAGATGACATTCATCATCAGAATCAGAATTAGGAGATGACAATAAGAAGTTAGTTGATGATCATCATAGTGAATTTTTCAATTACTACTTATCATATGATAATAAAAAGTTTCTTGAAGAATTATCCAAGGGAAATACATCTTAGCAGGGCACAAGAAAATTTTCTCATCAATTCCCAAAGAATTTCAACAATATCATCCTTGAGGATTTTCGCAAACAAACTGAAATACTATTAGAATCTACGAATGACTGGCGCACAACATCAAATGTTTTTGGGTTTTTGGTATACTTGTACTGATTGTGGGCCATTATAATCTTCAGGCAATGATACACTTTTTGTTGATTGGTTGTATAGCTCGATACGACACGTCTAATCTCTGTAAGTCGATGGATAACATCAAATTATTAATGCAACGACAACAATAGAGAACCTCAAGATATTAATGCAACAACAACAACAAGGAAATAATGTTCAGATTTATACTCTTGTTATACAACTTCTTTGGAATTGAAGAGAATGGATGAGCACATGATGTGTGTTAAGATTTCAATTCTTGGTGTACGTATGTTTTACATCTATTCATTCTATATCTATTGGATTGTTAAATTTATATTTATTTGTTGTTTTGGAACTTAATTATAATGACTATAATAAAATAAAGAAATATCACAGCTATGATGCATTATATTTGATGGATGGGTGATGCTTATCGTGACCAATGACACTATTCTACGGTATAAGTGTCTACGATCGTCGATAATATAGTAACCCAACCAAGGGTTGGGGTCATGTCCCAAGGGAGCAGTTTTGAGAATCAGTAGCCAATTAGAATTTTGTTTGAATTAGTCATAGCTAAAAACATTTGCGATAAAATACATTATATATTAAAGGGGGTGACACAGAAGTGTCAAATATCAAAAGGGGTTTTGTAACAAGTGATAAAATAGCAAAAAAACAAGAAAATCAAGTATGGGGAAGGTTATTGGGATGTGACCGCAATACAAGTTGAGATAAATCATTAGGTACATGCTTTCAATAGGAAATTTGCAAGACAATAGTGACTAGGCTAAGCTTTAAATGGAAATAAGTTCCCTCTCGGGCAACTTACCCCGTTTCAAATGCGTTCTTCTCGGACACCCATTTGCCGCATAAAGACCAGCCTACGTCTTACCTCACTCACTCTCTCGAGCTGAGTGTTAGGATATGGGACTAGGGTTCACACTCTCGGGCTGAACCTCATGTCAACCCACTCCTTAGGCCATCAGTCTAGTGGTTTTGG